TATATATAATAAAGGCAGGTACTGAACTTTCGCTATTCGCCTTAGAAGATGCCGGAAGTGTTACTCATTTATCGTTACCCTGTGCCCACCTGTGAACCAAAGTCACGGAGGTGAGCAACAATATCCACACCAGCCCCACAGATACCCATTCATAGGATGGGCAACACTCACACATCACACAACAACACACGGAGAAGCATTCATGCCTTGAACGGGATTCGAACCCGCAGCATTTAGCTTCGCAGTCAGGAACGATAACCACTCGGTCACCCGGCCGGCATCTGAAGTTATAAGAATTCTAAGCGTCCCACCATTAACTTATGCCTAAACCACGTATGTTCTGCATTCTCTTTATATTTTTCGACTTTTCAGGATCCCGATGTCTTTCAGTGGCTGTTCCCCATCACTCATCATTGCATTGCAAAGCTGCTAATAAAACAAAAGTTATTTCAAAACCGCATGATTATTCTTCACAGAATCCACCTGATTATCCTTTTGGTACTATTTGCAAGGTCAAATGTGGAAGAGGATTTCAAGTGAACACCTCCAGCGAAGTAATAGAATGTTTAGAAGATGGCAATTGGAATGCAACCACACCTCAATGCATAGGTGAGATGGACAGGAAATTATACTTTTAAGAACGATTTAAATTTTTTTTGTGATCACTCTTTAACTATCGCAGAATGTTTTCGCTTTCTAATGCTAATCGACTTTATTAATGCTACTTTCAACCATTTCAGAAAACGACCATTCACAATCAGCTTCTTATTCACTTGTGCTGGCACGAAATTTCTAGATTCGATTACCAAAACTGTTGGCGCAACTGAGACGTTAAGTGTTCGAAGCCTCGTACATTTTTATTATTTCTGTGATAGAACCGCGGTCGCTCTTGATAGAGCGGCTGCCTCCCGATGAGGTGACCCAGGTTCGAATCTATGTGGTGGTAGTTGATGCGAATTCTATTCTTGGTTAGCACCACCACTGTATTAACATAAAATATCCGCGGTGGTAAACGGAACATAGGTTAGAATCTCCTTGCCGTCAAGATAACCATGGTTTTTTTCTCCATGTAATGCAAAAGTGAATTAGTTCCACCGGAAAATCCTCCACGAAAGCTAGTTTGTCTTAATTCTTGATCCAAGAGTTCTCTTGTCCGATGAGTACAAAATTATAAGGCTACAGAGTTGAAAGCTTGATAATCATAAACTCAGAATTGGATCGGCTGTTCAACACTGTTTATAAAATACTTCTGTGTTAATTTGCCCGAAGTCATGCACAACAGGCAGTTTACGGCAATAAAACTATCCTGACGTGAGCAGGAAGTATTCACAGAGCTTATGGTGTAAGGGATATTTCTAAATAATACACTAAACCTTTTACAGTAATAATGTCATAAATATGCTCTCTAGACTTTTTTTGTTCATTATTAACGCAATTCAAAAGCGAATTAATTCTCTTATACTAGACAGCATGGAGTGTATATCACATTAGTTTAATGGATTTAAAAATTTTATCGCTGCTTGCATTATGCGTAAAAAAAAAATGTTTGAACTGCGTCCTGATTTAAAATTTGGCCACCATTTTAGAGGTTTTGAAATTAATATCTTAATACAGGATGTGCAGCATTTACAATTTTCATTGTTTATTTTTGGATTCCTTCTCGAAAGATACAATTTAAGTATTACACATCATCGAACACATTCTATTTAAGTGAAGAAGAAGCAAAAACATTATCAAAAGCCGACGAATAAGTAACGAGAGACGTCAATACCTGTTTTACCGCTGGAGGATGCAGAAAGAAGTTTAAAGGCGATTATTAAAAACATCTTCAAGTTCGTGTCGATGCTTTTAAACGTCGTTTCCTCATAAGAGGTTCATCAAGTTTCGATATTTTCTTAAAATTTTTCATTGCGTAAATGTTGATATGAAAACATTAATGTGTAGATGCTATTTAAAATTCGTTTTTTGCAAAACTGATATAATTACCTATTAACCGCAAGCGATATTTACGAAAAAAATTGCATTAACTGTGTTCTTACGTATCTTAACTTACTGAGCATAAATAATGAAGATGACATTTCATTTTCTTAGTGAAAAAAAATGTTTCATTAAATGCAAGTTGTTGAATTACTCCATTTAATTCCACTATAGATAAATTTTCATAGATTATCTAATTACTATTTGTAGCATCCCATTGCCCATCCTTGATGATTCCTGATAATGGAGATGTGTATCCCCCTACATGCAAAGATGATTTCATTCCAGTTAAGCAACAATGTTATTTCACCTGCAAACCTGGCTATGAAATGTTTGGTGGAAAAAGCGTGATTAAATGTAAATACAATTTAACTTGGACAGATGATCCACCCTCCTGTATACCTGGTGAGTAAAAAGAATAAACTATGATTCAATATTAAAAGAAGGGATTGGGATGACAACAAAATCCATAATCTGGATTTCTTTAGAGCTGGTGTAGGGAGTTTTTATTACGCGGAAAATATATATATATACGCCGAAGAGCCATTACATTATAACCACCCTCGATCTATAACAATGGATTCGCCCAGGTTTTCATGGTTTCTAGCCCAGGAACAATGTTTTCATGGGGCACATTAGGACCCATAATCCTCATGGAACAATCCCTGACGTCTGTAAGCTACTTGAACATAGTTGCACACCAGGTTCACCCATTCATGGCAACAGTTTTTCCTGCGGAGGATGGTGTTTAACACCAGGATAATGCACCATGTCATAAAGGTCGAATCGTCATGGATTGGTTCGAGGAACCTTCTAGTGACTTTCCAGTCATGTCTTTGCCCCTAAATTCACCTGAACTTAATCCAATAGAACATTTGTAGTCCTACTTGGAAAACAAAATTCGTGCTGCCACGCTACCCCCTCGTAATGTGAGGGAATTGCAATTGCAGGGCCAGTTGGTGAGCGCTTGGTACCAGATACCTATCAGCACCTTGTGGAATCAATACCACGGTGGGTGCTAGCAGTTTTGAGGGCTAAAGGTGGTCCTAAATGTTATTAGCTGGGTGGTCATAATGTAATGGCTCTTCGGTGTATATATAGCATAATAAATACATACAAAAAGGAGAAAAAGAGAAAAGCGAAGAAATTTAAGAAAAACAATAAGTTTTATTTACTGCGCATAACCTGCAAGTAAATAGAATTCATAAAATAAGAGAAAACATGGAAAAAAATACAGAACAATGAAAAAAAGGGGAAAATAAATAAATAAATAAAAGCCGGAAAAAAATTAATAAAAATCGGGACATGTGTTTCCCTTCATTCATTGTTCTTATATATATTCTAAATAAATTGGTCAGCAGTGAGGTCAAAAATATGGACCCTTTAATGTCAATTTAATTTAATTTTTTGTGTACTCCTTTATATCTCGATAACTTTTTAAGAGGAGTTAGTGGTGCATATACTATATTTCTAAAAATGTTAAATAAACTAATTGGTTAGAAAAAGCATGAATAAAAGTAAGAATATTAAAAAATTACGGACTAGCAAAGGCATGAATAAAATAAACTTAACGCATAAAAACATAAATAAAAAAAACAAAAGCAGGCGATAAAATTAGAAGAAATATTAGATAAAAGTAGAAAATGTTTAGAACAACAGAGAGTTGTTGATATTTAGAATACAGTTTTTGGTTTGTGAAGTTTATTCTAACCCGTTACAGGATTTTCTATATTTTATTGAAAGATTATTATTAACCCGTTACGGGTAATTTAATTTCGTTACTGTATTTGCTGTTGTAAAATAAATGTTGTTTTTTTTTAAAAAATAAAACAAAGAATTGTTTCTTAATACAGCTTGATACGTTACATTTTTTTAATAAAACAAGGAACTGTTTCTTAATATAGCTTGATACGTTACATTGTTTTTAATAAAACAAAGAACTATTTCTTAATATAACTTGATACGTTACATTTTGTTTAATAAAACAAAGAACTGTTTCTTAATATAGCTTGATACGTTACATTTTTTTAATGAAACATGGAACTGTTTCTTAATATAACTTGATACGTTAAATTTTTTTAATAAAGCAAAGAACTGTTTCTTAATATAGCTTGATACGTTACATTGTTTTTAATAAAACAAGGAACTGTTTCTTAATATAGCTTGATACGTTACAATACCAATGATGCTAAAACTGACCTTTTTCGATGTACTATGTGTACGGTGTACTTTCGATGTGAAACTAATCGTGATAGCTCTTTGAAATTATTCGTGAATATTTGAGATTCTATCAGTTGTATGCTGTGATAGTGTTTTAGCGTTAACAAGAATGCTCAGAAACAATGAAACTTTTTAAAAAAATTCAAAGTTCTTGGTTCATAATTTTAAAAAAAAATTCTGCCCAAGATAACAATTATCACAGTGTAAACATGTATATATATAAATATTCTGTCAAAAAAAAAAACTGAATCAATATCTTATTTAGAAAGTGCATTGAAGAAGGTCAGTTTTAGAGTTATTGGCATATAGACACCCATTAAGCGAATTAAAAAAATTTTGCACATATAATAATAATAAGGTTTTTTTTACAAAGATAATCTCACGAGAAAAATAATTTTTAATAATTATTTTGGACATTTTCAAAATGTTCACTTAATTTAAACATGATTTAAAATAAATATACCATCATTTTTTATGAATTGGCAATATTGTACTGTCTTCCAATATCGGTTTGAAGGGGTTAAACCTATTAAAACCTATCTTTAATTTAAAACTAAAGATAGGGAAAAGTAGTTTTTCTGCATTTCCACTAGATATATTTATTTTTTAATAATTATTTTTCCTCATCATCCTAATCTATCTCCATAACCGGAAAAGAATAGGGTACTTAATATAATTTTCTGTTCTTGTGCTGAATATATTATTCTTAAAATATCATTTTAAGAAAATGAACGTAATTTTTTTCATTTTAGGAATATCAAAGTAAAATGTAGTACATGAGAAGTACAGTCAGCAAAAAAAAAAAGATATCACCCTGAATAACTTTTGTTCTAATGATCGGATTTTCACGATCTAAGTGTCAATCTTAATGGTTCCCGGGGGTGACCTCAAATATGCTAATTAATTAGTGCTAACTATTAATTAAGTTACGAAATCAGACACAAAAACGTACTTTCTCTGAATAAACATATATTTTTATTTACACATTTGGATTCCTGACCTTCAAAATATAGGGGGTAGCCGCAATCTGGGAAATGTGGTCCCCATAGTTTGGTCAGGAGAGCGATCCAAAGTTCGTACCCCTTAATGTTAATTTCGCTTTTTAAGTTTTCAGTCATATTTTGAAAACTAATGAAGCAATTAAAAAAAAATTGCACCAACTCATAAAACTCATTTACCTAAAGATAATTTCATGAAAAAAATAATTTTTAATATTTATTTATTATTTTTTATTATTTAATTAAAGTGAGGATGAAAAAATATTGAATTATAAGGTATGAATTTTTTTATACCATATTAATCTACATATTTTTCAATTGAAAAATCTAAAGTTTCAACTG